GAATGGTGTGGCAGAACGAAAGAATAGACACTTATTGGAAGTAGTTCGTGCCTCACTCTTTGGTGCAAATATGCCTCGGTCTTTTTGGGGAGAGGTCGTCCTCTCTGCAGCATACCTTATAAATCGGATTCCCTCCAGTATCCTCCAGTTCAACACCCCCTTCAAACACTCCACCACCATACCCAAATACCTGCAACCCAAAACCTGGAACCCCGCATTTTTGGTTGTGTGGTGTTTGTCCACTTACATGATCATCAACGCAGCAAATTGGATCCCCGCGCCGACAAGTGTGTTTTCATTGGTTATGCACCTCATCAGAAAGGTTACAGGCAGACACAGGCAGACACTTCTCCAAATTCAGAAATTTTCCCTTCAGCCTTTTTTCCAGATTCGTTCCAGTGCGACCGGTCGCCCAACGAAAACGACCAGTCGCCAGATGAACATGACCGGTCGCAAACGACTCTGCCTGAAAGCAACCGGTCGCATGCCTCTAACGACCGGTCTCCACGCCCGTCAATGACTCTGCCTGAAAGCGACCGGTCGCATGCCTCTCACGACCAGTCGCCACGCACATCGCAACGCACGACCACGACTCTGCCTGAAAGCGACCGGTCGCCTGACCCTAACGACCGGTCGCTCCTCCCAGTTTTTTCTGAAATTGTTCCGCTTCAGTCCGATCCCAGCCATCACACTCAGGAGGAGAGAATTGAAGAGTTTGTGCCTGCTCCGGAGAATTCTTCAGCTCCAGTACCACACCAATCACCTGCTGAGGACGTCATTCAGGTAACTTCTCTACCTGAAACTGATAACATTAATGAAATAACTGATTGCATTTCAGAAGGCGCAGAGCCTACATATCAGATTCCAAAAAGGAAGAATCGTGGTAAACCCCCAGTTCACTACGAAGCAGATCTTAATGCAAAGGGGAAATATCTCATCAACAATTATGTATCCCTCACCAGATTATCTGAGTCACGGGTACATGGGTACACTTTGTGAAGCAGTTAGCCGACATACCTGTTCCCAATAGTGTAACCGAAGCACTAGAAGACCCAAAATGGAAAGAAGCCATGAATGAAGAAATGCGAGCTCTCCAGAAGAATGGCACATGGGAACTCGTGCCATTACCTCATGGAAAGAAGACAGTGGGATGCAGGTGGATCTATACTGTGAAACTCAAGGCAGATGGATCAATTGAAAGATATAAAGCTAGATTGGTGGCAAAGGGATACACACAGAGATATGGGATAGACTACCAAGAAACCTTTGCCCCAGTAGCCAAGATCAAAACTATCAGAGTCCTCCTGTCTCATTGGCCATTACATCAGTTTGATGTAAAAAATGCATTCTTACATGGAGACTTGGAAGAAGAAGTATATATGGACTTACCACTAGGATGTAACTTAGCCCGTGACAAGGAGAATCAAGTTTGCAAACTCAGAAAGTCACTGTATGGGTTGAAGCAATCCCCCAGAGCATGGTTTGGCAAATTCACTAAATCCATGAAGAATTTTGGATATATACAGAGTAATGCAGATCACACCTTATTCTTGAAGCGTGATGGAAGAAACCTTACTGCATTAATTGTGTATGTGGATGATATAGTCGTNNGAGCAAATAAAACTGCAGAAGTATTTGTCTCAGGAATTTGAGATGAAGGATTTAGGTGATCTGAAGTATTTTCTAGGAATTGAAGTAGCCAGATCCACAACTGGTATATGTCTATCTCAAAGGAAGTATGTATTAGATCTACTCACTGAAACAGGAATGCTTGGATGCAAACCTCCTGATACATCACAAGTTATGTGAAGACATGGATCAAGAACCAACTAATAAGGAACAGTACCAACTCCTTGTTGGAAGGTTGATATATTTAGCCCACACAAGACCAGATATTGCATATGCTGTGAGTGTGGTTAGTCAGTTTATGCATTCACCCAGTGTGTCACATAGGAATGCAGTTGATCGGATCTTAAGATACTTAAAGTCAGCACCTGGGAAAGGATTAATGTTCTCAAAAAATAGAGATCTCGAAGTTGTGGGATATACAGATGCT